TAAAATGGACTAGAGGCGTGAAAGAGATGTATACAACCCATGTACAAACCGTATCATATCAGAAACGGAATGTAGTCCGGTAAACAAATAGGGAACCTAGAATCCAGCCAGGAGATAAATAACTCACAAATAAGAGCGTTATGACTTCTGTGAGGGGTCAAGTAAAGTGTATCCCATAGGGAGGGTTACTGCCATCCTGTGGTTATCACAACTCGTGGGTATAAGGGAAGGTTTAATCAACTGGTATCAATGTAGCAGTTGATATCAAGGTCTATATTGAGGCCTTCAGGCGCGGCCTTCTCAATAAAAAAATCCATTTAGTCTCTAGTTTAGATACTTCACGCTTTTTAAATATGCCTCTCCAGTGATTTTTAATCATGTCTATACCGATAAACTTCAGACAGTGTGGGTTTCTACCATGTTTTTTTCTGAAGTGTAAAGATAATGAGTGTTCTCTGAACCCTTTTTTGATATTTGACAGGTGTTCTCGTAATCTATCCTTTAATCTTCTGATCGTTCTTCCTATGTATTGTTTGCCACATGAACATTCCAGCAAGTATACTACGTGTGTGCTATTGCACGTGATGACTGATTGTATATATCATAGGATTTTCCCGTCTGATTAGACCGGAATGCTGTCACCGGTTTCTTGTGTATGCCGTTCATGGTACAAATCATGCATCGATTACATGGATAGAAACCTTTCCGGTTAAAGAAGAACGATAGCTCCTTTGGGGGGTCCACAACATTAGGGGCCACTAGATTTCTCAAAGGGGGTGCCTTGCGGTATACAATTTCAGGGATATCCGGCAGAGCCTTCCCCAAGATAGGTCATTTTTCAAAATCGGCCAATTTTTCTTCATTGTTTTCGCTATCTGTTTAAATAGAATCGAAAAGCTAGTGATAAATGGACAAACAATGCTTTTCCTGGTTGGGTTTGTGTCCGTAGATACAAGCAAGTCTCTATTCAGGTTACCAACCTCCTTTATATCTTCCTCTAGGTGTATTGGGTTATACCCTTTATCTACAAACCTCTTTTTAAGGACCTGGGATTGGATATTATAATCTACCAGACTGTCACAGTTTCTGCGTATTTGCAGAAACTGGCCCCTTGGGATGGTATCCAGCCATCTCGGGTGGTGACAGCTATCTTTTGGTATAAAGCTGTTCCTGTCGGTGGCTTTAAAGAAGCTCTTGGTTAAGATTCTTTGTCCATCGTTAAAAAGGGTCAGATCTAAAAAATTTATCTCCCTGTAATCGTATTGGAATGTTAGTTTAATATTAAGATTGTTAGAATTTAATGTAATAAAAAATTTTTTTTAGGGAGAATTCATCTCCATTCCATAATAGAAAAATGTCGTCTATGTAACGACGGTAAAAAATGAGGTGAGGCCACTCCATGGAATAAATTAACTCCTCTTCCCATTTCGCCATAAATAAATTGGCTAAACTGGGGGCAAATTTTGCCCCCATCGCCACGCCCATGATTTGTAAATAGTGTTTGCCACCAAACCAAAAATGATTGTGAGTCATGGCGAAGTTAAGCAAATCCAAAATGAATGTTTTTTGTGTGTTTAGGGATATCATCTGCCGAGTTAAGGTAAAAATCCACAGCGTCCATACCGTCTAAGTGTCTAATGTTAACCCTGAGCTACACTCGGGAATACCATGCAGCGTTGGTAAGGGACCTCTTCTGCACTTACCTTGTCCTTCGCTCCCGCAATGTCCCCCCTGCAGAGTCCCCGGCCATCTCCTCATCTCCTAAGGCTGATGCCAGCATCTGTCTTCCGGGTTCCGTTCCCTGCGACGTCAGGACATACGGGGGACGGAGTGGCGGGAAATTTAAAAATGTCAAAAAGTGACATTCACTAAATACACTAAAATCACATAGTAAAACATTACTGTATCAAACCATTTCACATACATTTTGTCCCGAGTGCTTTGTCCGGCGCCCTGCCTGCATTTTTACTGTTCTTTCTGCTTGGAAACTGAGAAATGTCCATGGCGTCCAAAAAGCGTCCCTTTAGTTCAAAAGCGGTTTTAGACCAGATAGAGAACAGCGATAGTAAATCAGAACCACTTGCAGAATTGAGTGATAATGATTCGTGGGGAAATTCGTCATCAGACACTGAAACCGATTTTGCGACTTTGCTCGGTGATGTGCGAACTTGGCGCTATATTTCAAATTTCAGTGTTTTGGGTTTGATTATATTATTGAATTAAATGTATTATTATTATATTATTATTATTTATGATTATTTAATAAATTATAATTTATGATTTTGTGTTTCACGTTTTATCATACCCGGGATGTTTACTAGACTCTTGTTCGGACAGATTTCAGTGAGTTATTCCTAAAAATTACAGGCCTACAATAAAAAAATGACATATTTCCATGCAAAAAAATGTACCGCTTTGAGCACAGAAATACTGACATAATCAGACCGCTAGGGAGGTTAAAGACAGTGTGAATAGTGTGGTAGAACTAATTGGGAAATATAATCACTGTTTTACTGTACAGCTCATGGCAACCAAACACCTTTAGATGGATAATAATGAATTGAAATCAGTAAACCAGTTCATGTTAATTTGTAATATACAATAAAGATTAAAGGTAAGCAAAGTTAAACATGTTCTAATATAGAGTACAGATCAGGCTATACAATGCTACCCTCTGCAACCCCCCAATACACACACATACATACCTCTGCCTTTACAATTTCCTACACTTCTTTGCATGATTGACCTCCAATGTAAGCTGTCAGCTTGCCCCCATCCCAACATCTGACTGACAGCTATTTCTAGCCAATCAGAAGACGGGTAGACACAGGGGCGGACTGACAACTCATGGGGCCCCCGGGCAATAGGGGATCATGGGGCCCCTGTGTCCTTGCCCACACTCAAAAAAGCCTATAAAAAAAGGTACCAGGGGCATTTCATGGGGCCCCCTACTGACCCCGGGCCCTCGGGCAGTGCCCAAGTGCTCGAATGGTCAGTCCGCCCCTGGGTAGACAGTAAACCTCTCTTGGGAGGCGATAACTAATCAACAACAAAAGTAGGTGTACCAGAGAGGTGTGGTGATACAACAAAGGCATTACAGGAGCAGCAACTGCCGGTCCAAAGACCTGGGGCACCCAGCAGGAGATGCGGAGAACATGCAACCAGTGTCAGGGCATGATGACATAATTGACAGGAAGTGAGGGTAATCCTGTCTATAGGGGATACAAACAGCAATAAGAATCTAACAAAGGCTTCAACCCTTCTAAACTTTGTCTGGAGTTCTGTTGTAACATTATATACATTAGAATGTGATAGTTTTGGCACCTTTAAAAAGTCTAAGAACAACATAGAACAAGGCGAAAGTCTCAACCCTTGTGAGCAACTCGTTGTGGAAAAAAGTAATTTCATAAAACCAGGATTGTGGAGGACCTCTTGCCTTTAGCATAGTGAAACGATTTCCTGGATAGAATTAAAGCCCAACTGAACTTTAACCTCTTGGCGCCGGGCGAACGCAAATGTGTGACCTCCCAGCGTCTGGGCCTAGACGCCGTGCGGCCGCACATTTGTGTTCTATTAAAAGAAAAACGTGCTGAGAGCGCGCGCCCTGGGCACATGTCCGGTATTCATGGAAAGCTCCCAATCTCCTCTTTCGATCAGGACCTTTCCCGATCAAGTGACGCCGTGTCACGGCGATCACATGACTCTAAACCCCGCCCCACCTCCCGGCTTCTGAAACCCTTAAAGGGCCGGGAGGTGCCGGCACCAAGGGATTAAGCAAAAATCAGCTATATACATTCCAGGTGTATCAAACCAACGGTGTACAAGTCTTACAGCTTGTTTTTTTAGTAGACACAGCCTCACAGTGGAAAGCCTGGCCCCTGCCAGCATGCTGCTGAAAAGGACCCTTGTTCTCTCTGTGGAAGCAGAGGTTTCCAATCAACAACGAGTATGGACTTTGCTGAATGCAGAATAATAGGTCTACTTCAACAGGTGTGTGTTGGACCTCAGCAGGGAGACCACTGCTTCCCCACAGAGATTAAAGCGGTAGTAAACCGCAAACAAGCCCTCGAGCTGTCACCGCTGTAGAGGCTTCCATCTTCGCCCATCTTCCTACTGGGTTCGCGAGCTCTGGCCTTCTGAAAGTCACTGCTGGGTATGCCGTTCCTTCAGAGCGCATGCGCCGGATTAAATGAAGAAAGTATATCTCCTAAAGGGTACACGTTTAGGACATATTCATTTTACTTACAGGTAAGCTTTATGATAAGCTGACCTGTAGATAAAATTAAAAAACAGAGTTTACAACCACTTTAAGAAACCTTGTTGGCAGCATCCTGGCGGGGACAGGCTTTTCTATACAGGATGTGGCTGCTTTCTACAGAAAATGAACTGCAAGACTGAAGATTTGGACCATATTTAGCTTATTTAGGCTGAAAGTTCTATAGGGCTCTAACAGTTCACTAAATGATCATATGTTGTACTAGGGGCGGACTGACAATTCATGGGGCCCCCGGGCAATAGGGGATCATGGGGCCCCTGTGTCCTCAACCACACCCAAAAAAGCCTATGAAAAAGCCAATGAAAGTTACCAAGGGCATCTCATGGGGCCCCCTACTGACCCCTGGCCCTCGGGCAGTGCCCGAGTGCTCGAATGCTCAGTCCGCCCCTGTGGTGTACTTCTTATCTGGAAATGCTCAGTCAGGTTGTTAAACATCGAAGTCTCTGGTTTTCTCAGGTTAATGTTAATCACAGTCTATTTCCACATTAATGCTGAATTTTTTTTTTTTTTTTTCAAATACTGCTGGATCTCTTGTCCATACTCCATTTCAACTAGTGGTAGTATACCACTAAACCACAGGCCTTCCAAAATATAGAATAATTACTATAATATTAATATTTACAGTATATTTCTCTTCTTCTATAAATGCTTTGGAGTCTTTCGGACCAGAATCGTAAGAAAAGGCACTCCGGTGATGTACAAATAAGATGATGTATGGACGGGCTCAGTGATGAAAGTGCTTTCTTGAATTGTACATTTTATGCAGAACCTCTCCACTGAACTGATAGGTCAGCTTCTTCTTGACTTTCCGTACTTCTCCAGTCTTGCCGTAGTTGCGCAGGGCTCTAGCCATTTTCTGATAGGTCATCTTTTTACGGTTGCCTTTCTGAATACCCCAGCGGTGGGCTAGGGCTTCTTTGTGCTTGGAGGAGAACTGGAATGTCCCTTTGTCTTTATCTACCCACCAGATGCTATCTTTCATGTCTCCACTCTGAAGCAGCTCTAAAAGGAACTGGTATAATCGGATCTTTTTCTTACTGCCTGCAATCAAACAAGAAAAGGTTTAAAGATATCTACATTTCTTAAATCAGATGCAAACTATGACATTAAAATGTATGTCACATTTCAGGAAATATGCTTGGATCACTGTAGAGATATACAGTATATCAGTTAGCAAAAATATACACTATATGGCCAAAAGTGGACAACCCTCTAAATCAGTGGTCTCCAAACTGTGGCTCGCGGGACAGATACGACCCTTTGCCAGCCCTTACCTGGCCTTTGGAGCACTATTTCAGCCTTTGACACCAACTGTGGGGCATAGTTTCTGCCATTGACATCAATGATGGGCCACTATTCCTCCAACTGATGCCAGCGATGGGACACTATTCCTCCCATTGACACCAATGATGGGACACTATTCCTCCTTCTACTGGCCACGGGCACTATGAAATTATTTTACTTTCACTGACCACCAAGCCTGAGACATACTTTGCCCACACTGATACTGGGACATCCCCTAAAATGAACGATAATAAACTGGCTCCTTGTTTAGGAAGTTTGGAGGCCCCTGCTCTAAATGATTACATTCATGTGTTTTTGTTGAAGGCTCCAGTTAATGCTACAGCATCCAAAGACATTGAAGACAGCAGTGTGCTTCCAACCTTGGGGCAATAGTTTGGTGAAGGACCTCTCTGTTTCAGCATGACTGTGCCTCTGTGTACAAAACCAGCTGCATAAAGACATGGTTTGGTCAGTTTTGGTGTGAGGAAACTCAAGTGGCCTGACTTCAACCCTACCGAACACCTTTGGGATCAATTTGAATAGTGATTGTAACATCAGTAACTAACCTTACAAATGGTCAATTGGCTGAATGAGCAGAAGTTCCAACAGATGCACTCCACGATCTGGTGGAAACTTTTGAAGAATAATGAATGTTGTTATAGCCGCAAGGGGGAGACAACTCTATATATTGTCCATGATTTTGCAAATTGGCCTTCTAGTATATATCTACAACTTCTAGAGTGTTTACATGCTGCAGTGTTTCAAATTTCCTATCATCTGAATGCTGCTTTCAAAAAAGTTTATTGCTGTGCTGATGTAGCATCCTCCTAGAATAGGTTGCTTAAAAGGTTCAGATAATTTTAGTTCTTTTGCTCCTCTGTAATTATTGAAGTGGTGTGGGATTATTTTTGGCTGTTCAGGGTCTAACTGCTTTTCCCTGCCTTCTAGTGGATTCTAGAATGTAGTGTGTTAGAAGAGGCAGACTCCGAGCCTGAATATTTATGTAGTCTCAGTCAATTCCTTAGGAGAAGATGCCCATTAGGTAGCTGAGGAATGCATATATACCCTGGAGCAACAGGGTTCTTGTCCAGGAGGAGAAGACATCCAATTATCCGGGATGTTGTGAGTACAGGCCTGAGTATAGGATCCTAGTGACTGTCCGTTGCTGCTATCACTTTGAGTATTTGCTCCAGCGCCTCTGGTTTGGGACGTTTCCTTTTCCCTGGAGCCCCAGAGTTGCTTATCCTCCTAGAGTCTGCTAAGAGGGGACTATCTTAAGGAGTGTAGATAAAGCAAAGAGTGTTCTCTGATTTTTGCACTTTAGAATCCCACAGCTCCCTGCACTCCAACCACATTCAACTTGCATTAAAGCATAAAAAGACACCCTAAGTCTGATCATTGAGCTATGAGACTGTCTGTGCTGCTGTGTGCCTGGCTGCTTCTGCAACAAATTGGGAATATAACCTGGAACAAACTAATGGGCCCGTCAGAGGGCTAGCTCTACTCTATTAACAAACACTTTTTTGGGGCATCTCCACCTTCAATGTATGGTAAATATTATTTCAGAAACCTGCTACCTGCATTGACAGGTTATATCCTAAAAACTGATAGAGAAAACTGAAATGACACCAAGAGCAGGACATGTAAAAACAAAAGTGATCAGCATTATTGTTTGGCCTACACATACAGCACCGACAGCCTGAGAGGAAGGAAGTAGGGTAGGTTCAATTTTCAAATCCTGAAACACTTGTCAGCTGATCCTCCCACTTATTACCCATATGGAAGAAAAATATATTTGAAATATATTTTAAAAATATTCTTCCCAAATATATTGCCATATATTTCAAATGCTACAATTTTTGCCGTATTCAATATATAATTCAAAATATATATCAAATAATATATATATATATATATATATATATATATATATATATATAAACTGCATGTTGAAATGCGTTTTTATTGCAAAATATATGAAAAATATTTTTAAAAATACATTTAAAATATACTGTATGTCTTTAAAAGTACATATCTACATTATTGGAATGCGTTTACAAATATATGTAAAAATATGTTAAAATTACTTTTTTATATGTTAAAAAAAATCTGAAGAATATATTTAAAAAAAATATATTTTTAAAAAAGGTTCACATTGTTTACCCCGCATATAAGATGACCCTCGACTTTTGGGGTATGTTTTTAAGTATAAACAGTTGTCTTATATGCCAGAAAATACGATAAAAATGAATCTATTCATTACATCTAAGAATGAATAAGCTGCAATATGTTATATTTTTGTTTTGGGATTTAGATAGGCTTTATTGAAATCTGAACTATGAATTCAGCATGCTTGACTGTGTTTTATAGTTTATCCAATTTCCCATTATATGTTTTAAAAATATGCAAATCTGAAATATTTTTATTGGTTTTGGATAGAGTAAGGAATTTTTTTTTACTGCTGTGTCCTGGTGGGTATTTCCCTTCACTTCATGTCCTAGAGACACAGCAGGAAATAAAATAAGATCTGTGCAAAGTCAGGGGATATCCCGTCCTGGATAGTTGTCACCAGAACAGGTTTCCCAATTGGAGATTTTTACTCACCTACTAATCCTGTGACAGCTCAGAAATATTGGATTTCCTGTCACATTCTGTACTGGAGATGATGGCCACTAAAACCAATTGTGAAGGTAAATCTACCCAGTGGGAACACAGATGGCAAAACAAATCTAACAGAGTCTAACTAAAAAAACTATTAACATTATTTAAATTATTAAAATGATTAAGGTTTTAACCCAAAAACATTCTATCTCAAAAATGATAGAAAAAGATTTTGGCTTTATATACACATTAAATTCTTCTGAAGATTAGGATTTCACCAGAAAGCATTTGGATCACCTTAATCAATTCCACTGTACATCTCTATAAACTCTTATACCAACATCCTAACTGCCCATGTATTTCTTTTTCTGAACTAGAACACTGTCCTAATTATTCATTTCTATTAGCAACAGTTACTGATATTTTATTATCACAGGGTATATTTCAGACCTGGCTCTCCTAGAAGTGTCCCATAACTTGTGTCTCGGGGGTCTATCTCTCCATCTGACACTTCCAGAGGGGGGCTTCGTCTTTCATGGTCATCATCTTCCGAGCTGGGTGGTGCAGCAGATTGGAACTGCACACATACACGGGGTACATAAGACACCTGAAAAAAAAAACATTATTATTTTGGAGGCATATTTAGGATAGATTTGTTGATTGCCATCGGTATAAAGACCAGGTTTTCAGATGGTCTTAGACAGCAGATGTTGGTCACAAGTGCCACCATGAACTGATAGCAAACAATGACCCTGATTTACTAAAGGATTGAAGCATGTTCACTTTTAGACTGATTTTCCACTTTTTAAACTGAGCAAACTTATTGAACGAGATGAAAGGCAAAATTCACTTTGCAAACAAAACCCAAATACATGCAAGGAAAATAAAATACGAATTCTTGAATGAAGGGACATGTCAACCAACAAATATTGTGCTACCTAATGATTGGAGAGCTCTAGTACTGACTGAGTAGGAGGTGTATCACACCTCTGCAGAGTGACCGCTGCTTCCACACAGCATGCGGGGGGGGGGGGAGTCAAGCTTTTCTGCTTAAGCTGTGGCAGTTTTCTAAAGAAAATGTACTGTTAATTGGCCATACACGGTTGTTTTTTTTTTCTGCTCAGTCCATGGGCTCCATCCATCTTGACTGTGTGGGTGGAGGAATCTTCCCCAACTCGTTCCCTGACGGGACACTGTATTCTGGCAGTGGTGCCCACCGCTGTCAAAACACACTGATCAGTAGCTGCATCTAATTGGCTGCAGCTGCTAGTCGATGGAAATTTTTCGAACGTGTCCCTTCAACAAAAGTCAATGAAACAGTTCCTGTTGGACCAACCGAAATTTCGATGGCCAGCTTTAGATTTAACACACCTTTTGTATTGATGCACCTGGAATGTAGCTGATTTAAACTTAAAGCGGAGCTCCACCCACAAGGGGACGTTCCGCTTTAAGGACTGTTCCCCCGCTCCCCATTAAGGATTGGCACCTTTGGGGGGGCGTGGGGGAGGGGGTACCCGAATTTGACAGGTGCTCACTCCCACCTCCGCTGTGATCGCCTAGGCGATTGGAAGCAGATGTTTTCCCCCCCCCCCCCCCCGTAGTCTTCTGGGACATGCGACAGGTCCCAGAAGACTACGGGGCCATTCACAAAGCGCAGCGCTTATCGCGCATGCGCAGTGGGCACCTGGCTGTGAAGCCGCAAGCTGTCACAGCCGGGTGCCCACACTGAAGATGCCGGCACCAGGGAGAGAGGACACCACTGGACCGAGGGGCAGGTAAGTGGCTGTATTTTAAGAGTCAGCAGCTACAGCTTTTGTAGCTGCTGACTTTTATTTTCTTTTTGTTGAGGTGGAACTCCGCTTTAAGATTCAGTTGGGCTTTAACTGGCTTGATATAGTAAATTAATCCCATTAATTTGTGAAAGTAGAACTATAGACAAAACTTTTTTTTTCATTTTGAATAAAGTAAAGGATGTTTATAACCCGTCACTTTATTTTTTGCTTTCAATGTCCTATTGGGAAGGTTTCCCTTCACTTCCTGTCCCACAGCCAAAACAGGCAGTGAGGGAAAATCCCTGCAAGTTAAGGGAATTCTTTTGAGACCCCTAGGTCACCAGAACTAGTGTCCCCATTGGAAAATGTTCCTCTATTACTTTTCTGGGGACAACCCAAATTTTGGGGTTTTCTTTTACTTTCACCTTCAATGATAATGGTAAACAAAGAAATAGAGGGGGAAACTCCCAAAGGGGGCACAGAAAGCAATACAAACCTGACAGGTGTTCTAATCCCTCTGCACTCTTTCCAAAACTGAAAAAAAGTTTTGCCTTTAGTTATACTTTAAAATTTCAGTTGGGCTTTAAAATGTGATGAACTTTGCACATCATGATGGCCGTCTGCTCTGTTTAATGAGCCCTATGCAGCAGTTACCTGGTGTGTGAGTTGGAGGTGTGGATGTGGTGTGGTCAGTCCAGGCTCCAGGACGTGCATTTGTTCCATTTCCATGTGTCTGTACAATTGCTGCAGTTGCGGTTGTTGTACGCTCTGTAGCTCTGTGAGCTGTGAATCCGGGAATCCATCAATATCGCCATGTAGGTGAGAAGATATTGGGTATTCCCAATAATGCTCTAAAAAGGAAACTAATGTAGGATTAGTATTTGTTCAGTATATAAAACAAAATGTACTCTAGAAAAGAATTAAACATCAAGAGATGTGCCATGATTTTATTTATTTATTTCAGGTACTTATATAGCACCATCAATTTACGCGGCGTTTTACATATATATATTGTACATTCACATCAGTCCCTAACCCTCAAGGGGCGTACAATCTAAGGATAATATCACCATAGATTGTTTAATTTTGTTATTAATCACCTCCAAGCCAAGCTGGTTTTCTTTTGCCACAGATGTAGAATAAGATTTTCTCATTTTATATACAGTTGTGTTCAAAATAATAGCAGTCAGACATCACTAACCTGATCAATCACTGTTTTTGGTAGAAATGATATTTCTACATGGCAAATAATTTACTAGCAGGTGTAGTAGAGTAATAGAAATCCAACAGACCCAACAGTCATGACATGCATGCTGTTGATTCTGTGTCATTGAATCACTCATTGAAAGGGGCATGTTCAAAATAATAGCAGTGTGGAGTTCTATTAGTGAGGTCATTCATTCTTTGAAAAACAGGTGGCAAATATTGCCCTTATTTAAGGAAGGAAGGCAGCAAATGTTGTACATGCTGGTTACAGTGCATTTCTCTCTGAAATTCTGAGGAAAATGGGTCGTTCCAGACATTGTTCAGAAGAACAGCGTACCTTGATTAAAAAGTTGATTGGAGAGGGGAAAACATATAAAGAAGTGCAGAAAATGATAGGCTGCTCAGCTAAAATGATCGCAAATGCTTTAAAATGGCAACCAAAACCTGAAAGACGTGGAAGAAAGCGAAAAAAAACTCCATTCGAATGGATAGAAGAATAGCCAAAATGGCAAGGACTCAGCCAACAATCAGCTCCAGGAAGATCAAAGAAGGTGTAAAGTTCCCTGTGAGGACTGTTACAATTAGAAGACGCCTATGTGAAGCCAAGCTATCTGCAAGAAGCCCCTGCAAAGTCCCACTGTTGAAAAAAAGACATGTGCTGAAGAGGTTACAATTTGCCAAAGAGCACATTGACTGGCCTAAAGAGAAATGGTGCAACATTTTGTGGACTGATGAAAGTAAGATTGTTCTTTTTGGGTCTAGTGGCCGGAGACAGTTTGTCAGACGACCCCCAAACACTGAATTCCAGCCACAGTACACTGTGAAGACAGTGAAGCATGGTGGTGCAAGCATCATGATATGGGGATGTTTCTCATACTACAGTGTTGGGCCTATTTATCGCATACCAGGGATCATGGATCAGTTTGAATACATCAGAATACTTGAAGAGGTCATGCTGCCTTATGCTGAAGAGGAAATGCCCTTGAAATGGGTGTTTTAACAAGACAACGACCCCAAACACACCAGTAAACGTGCAACTTCTTGGTTCCAGACCAACAAGATTGACGTTATGGAGTGGCCAGCCCAATCCCCGGATCTTAATCCAATAGAAAACTTGTGGGGTGACATCAAAAATGCAGTTTCTGAGGCAAAACCAAGAAATAGAGAACTGTGGAATGTAGTCCAATCATCCTGGGCTGGAACACCTGATCACAGGGGCCAGAAGTTGGGTGACTCCATGCAACACAGATGTACAGCAGTTCTCAGAAACAGTGCGACTACAACCAAATATTCATTAAGTGATTCAAAGGAAAGCAAAATCTTCAAACATTTTTCAGTTTATATAGTGAATGTTTGAGTTTGTAAAGAAGAATACAAACACTGCTATTTTTTGAACAGTCTAATATTCACTTTTCTTCCATTTTTTTAGAGGAACAACACAAATTTGATATACAGTATTTTTCTTCATGTTTTGATTTGGAATAGAATGTGTAGTGTTCCCAATGCATTTGTGTGGATGGAAATAAAAGCTATTAGAAGGATTTTGAGCTTTATTCACTTTTTTCAACACACTGCTATTATTTTGAACACAACTGTAATTAGAGGCATGAAATTACTGTGAGAAATTCAGAAACACCCCTTGTGCTATTCTGCCCTTTATCATCTCTGCTGTCTTAAATGGAAAAGAGTTTCACCGTGCCCATTGATATTTCAATTTTAAAGTGTACCTAAACCCAAGAACAAAAATGAAATATACTGTAGCATTACATTTGACGGTTGCTCTGGTTTTCTTTTTTCTGTTTTTTTTTCTTTATTTTCACCTAGCAATCCTGCTTGTAACACACTTCCTATTCTAAGGTGACAACATTTACTCACTGTAGTATAAGGAGAAACAATGTTGTCACGGTAGAACAGGAAGTGTGTCAGGACTACAGAGCATCTCCTACTTTCCTCGTTATGCATGCAGTTTTAGTCACCTTCCATTGGGAAGATATTCACATTTATCCCCATGTTCTCATGGCTGCCATTCAGTTTTAAAGTGTACCTAAACCCAAGAACAAAAATGAAATATACTGTAGCATTACATATGACGGTCGCTCTGGTTTTCTTTTTTTCTGTTTTTTTTTCTTTATTTTCACCTAGTGATCCTGCTTATATCATACTTCCTGTTCTAAGGTGACAACATTTACTTATTGAAGTATAAGGAGAAACAATGTTGTCACTGTAGAACTGGAAGTGTGTCAGGACTACAGAGCAGCTCCTACTTTCCTCGTTATGCATGCAGTTTTAGTCACCTTCCATTGGGAAGATATTCACATTTATCCCCATGTTCCCATGGCTGCCCATCTGAACTTTTTTTTTAAAAGAAAAGGTTCTTTATTCCTCATTGAAGGAGAATATAGGCTTTTGAGGGGGTTAAGAACACTGAGCCAAAATGTAGGTCGGTAGATTTTTTTTGTAGGTTTTCCTGGGGTACACAAAAAGATAAACTACTGCTTTTTGGGTCAGCACACAAAAGAGTGACTGAGGTCATTGAAACAATGGAAATACCCCATAGACGATAGAGAAGGCAGCAAAGAACCCCGTAGATCACTCTAGTGTACATCACTATCAACTTGAAAACTGCCATATTCACATATTTAACACATCTTTACATATCCAGCATCTAAAAACAAATGAGTTTAAGTATCCAGATAAATGCAAATATAAATGACAACTGAAGAACAGAATAGTCTACACTCTCACTTAAAGAGAACCTTAAAGAGGACCTTCACCCATCCATAACACTTCCTGTCTACTGCCTCCACCCCACTACCTCTTAAATGACTGAGATTTCAAAAAAAACAAAAAAAAAAAACTTTTTTTACATTTCTGTTGTTTCAGTTCCTGAATCCTAGGCAAGGATAACATATGTTCAGCATAGGGTATCTTGTGCATATGCAACCCACAGATTTCTGCACGTGCAGGAGACTCTCACCAGCGCACGCACAGACACACTATGGGTTTCTGGCAGGTCCCATAAAACTAGCTAAAGACCCATGGCATGTCTGTGTATGGATGAGATCAAAGATGGCAGACCAAGAGAAGAGCAGTGTGGAAGAACTGTGGCTGCCAGGAAGACAACACTAGACTACATGGAGTGGGAAGAAAGTAATGCCCGTAGCGTAAAAGAAAGAAAAGAAGTAGCGCAGGGCAGGCATGACTAGGCCTAGAGTGGGAAGGAAGACTAGAAAGGGTTAAGTCAGTGCCAGGGGGTTTGAAATTATATAGGTGGGAGCTGGTTGGTAGAGGGAGAGCGTGGGTGGTCTCTTTGGCACCTTTAGGTGGGGTGTCCTGGGTGGGGGGCAGTCAGTCGGAGCTGGACGTTGGTGAGTGAGCTTTTGTTGGTCTTTGGAGGCGGGTATTATCTTGAAGGTACAGAGAATGGTGTGGGACCCATCGTGGTATGGTGTGCCCGGGGACATTCCAGTTAACCAAGGTTTAACTGGAAGGTGGTGGTGTTGCACTGCGGACGGTAAGGTTGTCTCCGAGCTGGTTGGTTGCGGCTGGAAGCCTGGTGTTATATGGGGTCCGCAGGTGCATTTCAGATCATTTTTGGATGGTGCCTTCGAAGACCAACAACAAATCTGTATGTTTTTCTGTTATAAGGAATGGTTTGGTGTTTAAAACGTGTTGGTTAATAAAAGGCGGCGTTGGCCATTTTACTCCAAATTGGTGTCATGTTTTTTTCTTTAAGTAGGAGTTATAGGTAGGGGGATCTGGATGAACCGATCTCTGGTGCACTAGTCATGTATTTTTTTATATTCTTACACAGGAACAACAGGACAAAAAGTTCCTTTTGATCTGGCCATACACCAGTAGAAATGTGTTCAAAAATATTAATTTTAGAAAATTTGTTCAATTTTCTAATGGTTATCTGGGGCAAATCGACTTTTGTTTTTGCCCATAGTGGCAAGAAAATTTGTGTAGGATGTAGGTGCAGACTGACATCTCATGGGGCCCCTGGGCAATAGGGGATCATGGGGCCCCTGTGTCCTTGCCTACACTCAAACCACACCCAAAAAAGTCTATGAAAGGTACCAGGGGCATCTCATGGGGCCCCCTACTGACCCTGGGCTCTCGGGCAGTGCCCAAATGGCCAGTCCGCCCCTGGTAGGATGCAATTTTTTTCTTGAATGAAATTCTAACTGTGAATATGTTTTTGTTCAGGAAATATTGTACATTAAGTAATGCACATGTACTAAGCACAAAAAAATTGCTTAATGCATTTGCAAATTTACTCAAGCAGCAGGTCTGATTGAGATTTTTATACGTTTTTTAAATGAAATTAGTTGACGCAATGATGGTAAGATCAAATGATCCGATGAAAAATTTTACAGAATTTTTGTATATATGTTTGAAGGTTTTAGAGAGTTTTCCTTAGACAGAAAAGAAGGCTGTGGGTGATAATATGCTGCTGAAAGTCAAAGATACAGTATAACACTGTAATATAGTTCATACTGGGTGTAGATGGATGGATGGTTAGATGGATGGTACAGTAAAAGCCGGCAACAGATGGATCGAATCTTGGCCGGTTAAACAGGGATCAGTCTAGATTCAAATCAGCAGGCTGGTTGTACACAAGTTGATCCATCGACTGACTTGGGTACAACCAGCGTGTTAGATTTTTTACATGCGATTACTGCCGGCGGCTATAGCCGTAGCGGTAATAATTGTGCTCTGCCAGGCGGGAAGGCTCCCTGCCGGCAGGACACAATAGCACTTCAAGAAAAATTCTCCCATCCACAAAGTCAGTGATTTTCTTTCTCTCCACCCGTGGTGGAAGAAAAGAAATTTAAATCATCTATGGTTAGCCTAAGTTTGGTTTAACGCTGAGCTTCATGGAGATAAGAAAACCATCCATTGCAGTGGGATTGCCCCCACACTGCAAGGGTTATTTACTCGTTTAGGCCTAGGGGACCACAGAAAAGCAGTTTTCCTTCCTGATCCTCCTTTCCCTCAGACTTCAGACTCCCTTCAGACTGTAAGACCGATCCCCACAGTCTCTTCTCCCCTTTGCTCTGGCAGTCGTAGGTCCAGTCCAATGCTGAGCCCTGCACTGGACAGGAGGATGCCAGGGGACAGTCCATTGCCAGAGCACAGGGGAGTAGAATAGATTGCCAACTCCTGGGGTAGCAGGGGGTTGGGTAACTAAATCTGCTGTTTGTTGCCCCAGAGATGAGATTTAAATATTAGGCATACTTGGAAATTGGTGGAATAATTTTTGATTTGGAAATCTCAGCATCCACCAATACATTTATTGATTGTGTTATACAGTTATTACACCCAAAAATGAATTGCTTAAACCTGAAAAAGCAGTAGTGACCTGCCACCCCTTACCCTTGACATAACCACCAAACCAAACTGTAATCCTGCTTTCTATGCTTAACATTCTAAATCAGAAGCTAATCCTTAACCACTTCAAGTCTGGACACTTTCACCTCCTTCCTGTCTAGGCCAATTTCCAGCTTTCAGTGCTATCACACATTGAATGACAATTGTGCGGTCATGCAACACTGTACCCATAAGAACATTTTTGCATTTTTTTTTTAGACAGATAAAACTTTATTTTGGTGGTATTTATTCACCACTGGAATTTTTATTTTTTTTTTTAATATAAATAAAAAGTCCCAAAATTTTGAAAAAAAAGTGTTTTTATTATAAAATTTAGCAAATAAATAATCTTTCTTCATAAATCTTGGCCACGATGTATTCAATTATCTTTTTAGTAAAAAAATAATAATAACCCAAATTAGTTTATAACCAAAAATTATAACTGAAAAAATAGTTTTTACATTTTTATTTTTATTATTATTTTTGTTTGTTTTTTAACATACTGTCACCCTAGCAGTACAGTGTCACCATAGTGACACTGTACTACATGTGGGGGGTGATGAAGATTTTTTTTTCCTTTTTTACACTGATTGCTTTTACACCCATAAAGGCTGTAAAAGCAATAATTTCTCCTTCTCTCTGGCTGCATTCTTACAGCCATTGAGAAATACTGTGAGAGTTGTGATTGGTCACAGCTTGTCACATGGTACAAGGCTGTTGTGAATAGCCTTGTACCATGTGATCTCAGTGATCATTCACAGATTTCACAAGTAGTAAGCAATGATGTCAGGAAGTGACATCTTGTTTACTACTATTCATGTGATCACCAGGGGTGGACTGACAACTCATGGTGCCCCCGGGCAATAGGGGATCATGGGGCCCCTGTGTCCTTGCCCAAACTCAAAAAAGCCTATGAAAATGGTACCAGGGGCATCTCATGGGGCCCCCTACTGACCCCAGGCCCTCGGGCAGTGCCCAAGTTTCCAAATGGTCAGTCCGCCGCTGGTGATCACTGACTGGCCAATCAGTGATCACATGAATCGGGACCTCATACAGAGGTCCCGTACAGCGATCTGTGTTCCGCTGTGTCCGGAGGACACAGAGGGCACTGATTGCGGTCCCACACACTCCTAGGGAGCGCGCACAGGCAATGGATGTGGAGAGACGTTTAGAAATGTCCACCCGCATTGGCAGCGCTCCCATTCAGCTGTTTATCGACATGGGCCGGATGGAAAGAGGTTAACCTCAAGCTAGTTCGTAAGTTTTACCTTTAGCGTCATCCTAAAGAGGAACTGAACTTAGGAAGCAGTGCCAAAAAACAGGCCAGCAGAGTGCAAAGGTCTAGTCACCAGTATTGCCTGTGGTCTCCCCATAGCCGATCTTTTCCCAATACTGACTTCTTCTGCACTGTCTCTGTGTGGTCACATGGTACAAGGCTGTTGTGAATAGCCTTGTACCATGTGACTTCTGTGATCATTCACAGATTTCACACGTAGTAAGCAATGATGTCAGAAGTGAAATCTTGCTTACTACTCTGCATGTGATCACTGATTGGCCAATCAGTGATCACATGATCGGGCCCTCACACAGAGGTCCCGTACAACGAACGGTGTTCCACTATGTCCAGAGGGACAGGGAGCATGCACAAGCAGGGGGCGGGGAGGCTGTTTATAAATGACCACCCACCCCTGCACTGCCACCGTCCAGCCATTTATATACAACGGCCGGACGGGAAGTGGTTAAGGATACTCAACATTTTCTCATGAATCATGAGGGTGGTCATAATATTCCTTACTTCTGCAACCTGAACAGTTGGTTTCTTCCAAGCTCTAGCAATGGCCCTTTTATCAGCTATGAAAAGATAGGTAGCCAATTTCTGCCGATGGGACAAGAGGCCAGGAAGTGGGCAATGGAGGAGCTCATGACGAGGATCTCTATGGAAGGTAGAGTGAAAAAGGGTCGACAAAAGGCCATAGACTCTGGACTAAAAACCCTCTAGTCTCGGGCACGTCCACTGGAGCTAGAGATTTTCAATCAGTCAGGGAACTTGGAGATATGTGTCTTTTGTTTAAAAGTACATTTTCCCTTTAACTAATAAACCTTATGTTTAAATGGTACTGGACCCAAAAAGTTAACCTTTGACCAGGGGCGGACTGACAACTCATGGGGCCCCCGGGCAATAGGAGATCATGGGGCCGTTGTCTCCTCACCCACACTCAAAAAAGCCTATGAAAGGAACTAGGGGCATCTCATGGGGCCCCCTACTGACCCTGGGCCCTCGGGCAGTGCCCGAGTGCACAAATGGTCAGTCCGCCCCTGCCTTTGACTTCATTTCCTTAAAGGTAATACTTTTCCTCAGTGTGTGATTCAATGGTATTAACCTCAGTCAAAATGTACACTTTTCTGGTGGTAATACCGTGTTTTTCACAGCAATAAATACTATCAAAAAGAAACTTGTGGCAAAAATTCCACCTTGTAGAAAACCCGCACAAGTAAGACTTTGTCATCAATTTACAATGTACCAATTTATCAGCATGAAAACACCTGAAGTGAATTAAAATAATCTGCATGAAAGTTAAAGCACATTTTATTAAGTAGACAGAGAGGTCTACGAACACACTTTTCTATTAGGCATTATATGGTGATATGAGAGGTTCACTTGTCCCATTCCATCTCAGTAATAAAGTGTGGAAGTATCTAATAGTTACCGTGGCTCTCATTGTCACTGAGATAGGGGTAGTATTCATGGTGGGGGCGAAAAGTCTCCGGATCATAGGTGACTAACTCTTCTGGGTGCGCCTGCAAGAAAGAAGACATATAACTCAATACAGAATTTTCATTACGAAAAAACATCTGCTCAATCAATGTAATACGTTTGCATTGGTTGCATTTATTAGAATGTAACCAATCAAGTTATCCAATGCCCATGTGATCAACAGTAAATTGGTATTAGGAAGATCCCAAGCACAAACGGCTGCCACTATTGTGTGGGTGCAGTTGTAACGGATGCAATGTCGCAGTTTGCCCACAGTGCCACCTTCTGGTAAAATATGGGCCTGCTGTTGAACCATTCAGATGCACTGGGCCAGGGGTAGGCAACCTGTGGCTCTCCAGCTGTTGGAGGACTACAAGTTCCATCATGCCTCTGCAAGTCATAGCTGTAACTCTCAATTTTGCAATGTCTCATGGGAAATGTAGTTCCACAACAGCTAGAGAGCCGCAGGTTGCCTACCCCTGCACTGGGCATTCCTGACTCCTCCCCCCTGCTGAGTGCCCCCATAGCAAATACTGTAGCTGAAGACTTGATTGCAAGCAGATTTACCCCCCTTCCTGACCAGGCTATTTTTTTAGATACAGTGCTGTGTTACTTTAACTGACAGTTGCATGGTCATGCAACGCTGAACATAAATTACATTTATGTCATTTATTTCTCCCACAAATAGAGCTTTCTTTTGATGGTATTTGATCACCTCTGCATTTGTTACTTTTTGCTTTATAAACAAAAAAAGACCAACAATTATAAAAAAAAATATTTATTTTTTTATTTTCTGCTATAAAACATATAAAAATACAATGTCTTCATAAATTTAGGCCAAAATGTATTCTGCTACATATTTTTGGTAAAAACAAAATTCCAATAAGTATATATTTATTAGTTTGTGCAAATGTTATAGCAGTTACAAACTATGGGACATATACTGGATTTGTTTAAATGTATTTTTTTTTTAATATTCCTAATGGCAGTGATCAGAGAATTATAACGGGACTGCGATATTACTGTGGACATTTTTACACTAACTTACACTTTGTGGGAACCAGTGACACTAATACAGTGATCTGTGGTAAAAAGATGCACTGACACTGTACTATTGACACTGGCTGGGAAGGGGTTAAATCTAGGGTGATCAAAGGGTTAACTGTGTGCCTAGCTATGTGCTTGGTGTGCACTCCTAGGTGGTGCTTTTACTAGGGGAAGTGAAGTATCATGTTCCCAGCTTTGCAGGGACACACTATCCTTCACTCCCCTCCTGTCAGACCAGAGCTCTGCCTTGTTTACATAGGCAAAGCTCTGATTTGTGTCCTACCCGACGATTGGCGTGTGCCGGCAGACATACGTTCACCAGCACTCGCAAGATCGGCTTCTGCTGTGGGTGTTCACAGCAGAAGTGATCTGCTGGTGGCACATGCACGCCCCCTATGGAGGAAGTGCAAAATCACATATATACGTGATTTTCCACAGGAGGACCTCCCTGTAGCAGTAAAACTGCTGTAGAGTGGACCTTAAGTGGTTAGTAAGAGGAAACTTACCTGTCCAAGGATCCAGCGCTGCCCTCACCTGAGCTGGTTCTTTGCTGGTTGTCCCCGGAGGAGCCAGCATTTTTAGTGTGGGGAAGTAGGGGCGGACTGACAACTCATGGGGCGCCCGGGCACTAGGGGATCATGGGGCCCCTGTGTCCTTGCCCAAACTCAAAAAAGCCTATGAAAAAGGTACCAGGGGCATCTCATGGGGCCCTCTACTGACCCCCCGGGCAATAGGGGATCATGGGGCCCCTGTGTCCTTGCCCAAACTCAAAAAAGCCTATAAAAAAGGTACCAGGGGCATCTCATGGGGCCCCCTACTGACCCCGGGCCCTCGGGCACTGCCCGAGTTTCCAAATGGTCAGTCCGCCCCTGGTGGGAAGCCAGCTGTGACTCCTTGCAGCGTCACAGCCGGCTTCCCATTGCAGATATGAGAGCCACGCAATGTGAATGGTCATGCAGTCTCCTGGGACCTGTGGCATGAGGTTGCAAGGCAGGTAAGGCAGCTGAAATTCAAGTGGAAGTGCCTAGGCGATCAAAGCGGAAGTGGGAGTGGGTATCTACTAAGACTAGATACCCACTCCCCCTTCCCCCCCACCAAAAATTTTTCTAAAAGTGTTAGAGGAGGGGGAATTCGGAAATAAAGTGGAACTTCCCTTTTAGGCTTAAATTTCACTTTAAGTCCTGCAAAAATGTGTCTGTTTTGTACAAAGTATGCAAATGTTAGACCTTCCCGTCCCTGTGACATGGTATTACCGGAACAGGAAGTGATAGAAAGTCTCTCCAGAGCAGGCAGACACAGTACCAAAAATCTTTTTCTTTTTTTTTTTCTTTTTTTTTTTTAAGTAAGAACCCCTCTCATGGTTGCCAATCCATTCATGTGCTGCCAAAAAGCATGCGGAGAAAGGAGAGTGACAGAGAGGAGCTCATTACTGTGCTTCTTCTCCTTTCACTGTCCAGTCATAAGCTGTGGGCAGGGCCAGGACAATTTTTTTATTGTTATGTTTGCTCGGAGTTCTGCTTTAAAGTTTACCTTATAATTAAAGCAAATGGACTAGTCACCTTGTTAACCGCTTCCCGACCGTCCTATAGCAGAAATACTGCTACAGGGCAGCACGTGTGCGCAAAATCAGGTGTATATACGTGATTAAGCATTTTCAGGTAGGGGGCGCACGCGGCTGTCAATCCGGTGATTACCCACTGGCACTTGGTAATTACTGAGCAGCTCCAATGGGGGGAGACTGTTTTGTTTACTAACAGTTCTCATCCCTGTCAGCTCGGGCACACTGCTCTGGATGGCTGTGCACAACACAGCCATCCAGAGCAGTGTGCTTACAGTGAAGCACCAACACACAGCCCTCTAGTAAAACACTCCCTGCACACAGTTAACCCTTTTATCGCCCCTCATGTTAACCCCCTCCTGCCCAGTGCCATTAGTACAGTGTCAGTGCTTTTATTTAGCACTTATCACTGTATTGGTGTCACTGTGGATGTCAGTGACATCAAATCAGTTCCCCCCCAGCGTCAGAATGCCCGCCGCAGTCCCGCTTTAAGTCGCTGATCACTGCCATTACTAGTAGAAAAAAAAAAATTCCAGTATCTATACCACCATTTATAATTGCTATAACTTTCACTTAAACCAATGAATTTACACATATTGGGATTTTTTCCAGCAAAGACATGTAGCAGAATACATTTTGGCCTAAATTTATGACGCAATTTGTTTTTTTAATTTTTTTTACTGGACATCTTTAATAACAAAAAGTAAAAAGTATTGTTTTTGTTTCAAAATTGTTATGTTTTTGCTTATAGTGCAAAAAATAAAAAACGCAATGGCAATCAAATACCATAGTTACATAGTTAGTCTGACTGAAAAAAGACAAAAGTCCATCCAGTTCAACCATTAAAAAAAAAAAAAAGCTATAATCCTATACCCACAGTTGATCCAGAGGAAGGCAAAAAAACCCAGCAAAGCATGATCCAATTTGCTCCTGCAGGGGAAAATAATCCCTTTCCTCCAGACGTAAAGAGTACCCCCTTGTCCTCTGTGATGACCTCAGGGTGAATAGCTCTACACGAGTTCACTATATGAACCAACGGTAATCGGCATTCCTCAGAGGGGACATGTACACTAATCATCAGGACATTTGCGATCAGTGTGCCCTGATGATCAGTGTAGCCCCAGCAGTGCCACCTGTCAGTGTCCATCAATGCCAGCTGTCAGTGCTCATCATTGCCACCTGCCAGTGCCCATCAGTGCCATGTTGATCATATCCTCCCTTATGTATTATACATGGTGAACATATCCCCCTTATGTATTATACATGGATATCATATCCCCCCTTATGTATTATACATGGAGATCATATCCCCCCTTATGTATTATACATGGAGATCATATCCCCCCTTATGTATTATACATGGAGATCATATCCCCCCTTATGTATTATACATGGAGATCATATCCCCCCTTATGTATTATACATGGAGATCATATCCTCCCTTATGTATCATATACATGGTGATCATATCCCCCCTTATGTATTATACATGGAGATCATATCCCCCTTATGTATTATACATGGAGATCATATCCCCCCTTATGTATTATACATGGAGATCATATCCCCCCCTTATGTATTATACATGGAGATCATATCCCCCCTTATGTATTATACATGGAGATCATATCCCCTCTTATGTATTATACATGGAGATCATATCCCCCCTTATGTATTATACATGGTGATCATATCCCCCCTTATGTATTATACATGGAGATCATATCCCCCCTTATGTATTATACATGGTGATCATATCCCCCCTTATGTATTATTCATGGAGATCATATCCCCCCTTATGTATTTATACATGGAGGTCATATCCCCCCTTAGTCTCCTCTTCTCAAGAGAGAATAAATTCAGTTCCTCTAATCTTTCCTCATAGCTGATCTCCTCCATGCCTCTTATCAGTTTGGTTGCCCTTCTCTGTACTTTCTCCAGTTCCCCAATGTTCTTTTTGTGAATTGGTGCCCAAAACTGAACTGCATATTCCAGATGAGGTCTTACTAATGATTTGTACCGGGGTAATATGATATCACTCTCTCTGGAGTCTATACCTCTTCTAATAACAAGAGAGGATTTTGCTCACTTTAGAAACCTCAGCTTGGCATTGCATGCCATTATTAAGCTTGTGATCTACCAGAACCCCCAGATCCTTCTCCACCATTGATTCCCCCAGTTGTACCCCTGAATACCACCGAAAGAAAGCTCAATTCATGGAAAAACAAAGGATGTAAATTTAATCTGGGTGCAGCGTTGCATGACCGCGCAATTGTCAGTTAAAGTAACGCAGCGCCATAACGCAAAAAAATGGCCTGGTCAGGAAGGGGGGAATCCTCAGGAGGGCAAGTAGTTAAATAGGTGATTTGTCAATAAGAGACTTGTAAATAGGGAACATTTTTAGAGTCTATGTGCTCCATCCTCATATACAGTATGCATGATGCTCTATGAGGAAGGGCATTTCCTGTGGTCAGAAGAATATTCAGTTGCCTGTCGAAGTCTTTGCTTGCCCAACATTTTGCTCGTACTTCCTCACACTATTTTTTCACACAATCTGTCATTTCTAGTGTCACTGAGGAACACTTGCATGACAGAAGTATGACAGACACCTACAGGATCTATTTCTGCAATGACTCCACACCTCTGTAACCGAATCATCTGATGTTGATGTAGCTGTGCGATTTGGAACAAACACTGCCAGAGCTAATGAGATTTTGTTATCACTTCATCACTCTACTGCAAAATGTTCTTAGTTACCATTAAAGTGTATGTAAATCTCACAATGAACCTCTCCTATTTGCTCCCTTAAATATACTAAACGCATTTAGTTATATCTGTTCAAAAAGTGCTAACAAATAACTTTTGATCCTGCCAGAAATCCAAAGAAATCGTCATTCTCAAGGCCTCATTCACACTGGGCATTTTAAAAACGCCTGTACTAGTAGCTGTATAAAGTTGCGTTAAAAAAACACACATTTTTTGGCAGTTTTTAAAGTTTTAGCATTTAGCCGTGTTTTTCAATGTTAGCACTTTTTTGCAGTTTTTTACACACACAAAAATATTTTTGGCTCAAAAAAAGTTCACAAACGCTAGTTTGAAGTCTTTTACCGAATTTACCAACGTTAGTCCTCATGCACACGGGACGGTTTGATAATGCTGGTAACGTTAGCTCTGTAAAGTCACGTTAAAAACATGAGTTTTTCAGCTTTTTTTAGCGTTTTTGCATTAGGGTTTAGCTGCATTTTGCCGCGTTTTCCCACATTTGCGATTTTTAGCTTTTTTTTTGGGTCAAAAAAGGTCCTAAAATGCCAGTTTGCAGTATTTTGCCATGTTTTTCAGAATTAGAGCGTTTTTACAGCTAATAAAAATCCTCTAGAAATCCACTAATCCTGGGTTATTTTTCCAGCCAAAAAACATTGATTGCAGTCTGTGTGTGCGCGGACACATAGGATAACATGCTGGGGGGTTTACTGGATGTAGAAAAGAACGCCAGAAGCCAAAAACAGCTGCTGTAAACGTGCCCCATTGTCATGAGGCCTAAGGCCACATGTACACATGAACTCACCTAGCAGAAAAATGCTAAACGCGACAAAAATGTGTGTAACTGAGGTACCGCGTTTAGTGCTTGGACATTTATTCATTTGATCGGCCAGAGTATTTTCCATTGATATGGATAAATGGATATGGACAGTCGACCACCCCCTCCTCCTTAATAAACTACACTCCCTCGGCATCAGAGACTCCGCTCTCTCCTGGCTCTCCTCCTATCTATCCCAATGCTCCTTCAGCGTTACCTGTAATGCCACCGCCTCCCGCTCTCTCCCCCTCTCTGTTGGGGTCCCTCAAGGCTCTGTCCTCGGGCCCCTTCTCTTCTCCATCTACACCTCCTCCCTCGGCAAACTGATACACTCCCACGGCTTCAACTATCACCTCTACGCCGATGACACACAAATTTACCTCTCCACCCCGCACCTCACCCCCTCAGTCTCTGCCCGCATCGCCCACCTACTGAACGACATATCAGACTTGATGTCGCTCCATTTCCTCAAATTGAACCTTTCCAAAACTGAGCTCCTAATTTTCCCCCCAGCCCGTGCCCCCCACCCTCTCCATCACGACCAACAACGCCACCATCAGTCCCACCCCACAAGCCAAAGTCCTAGGTGTCACTCTTGACTCAAACCTGTCCTTCCAACCCCATGTCCAATCGCTGGCAAACTCATGCAGGCTCCACCTCCGCAACATCTCCAAAATACGTTAGTTCCTAACCCCAGCCACTACTAAACTACTCGTTCACTCCCTTATTATCTCACGACTCAACTACTGCAACTCCCTTCTCACCGGCCTACCCCAACACAGCCTATCCCTGCTTCAGTCTATCCTGAACTCAGCGGCCAGACTCATCCACCTTACTAACCGCTCCGCATCTGCCACCCCCCTCTGTCATTCCCTCCACTGGGCTCCACACCCCTCTGTCATTCCCTCCACTGGCTTCCGATTGCCCAACGCATTAAATTCAAACTACTAACACTGACATACAAAGCCATTCATAACGCTGCCCCAAACTACCTCACTGACCTGATATTCAAATACCACCCAACCCATAATCTTCACTCCTCACAGGACCTCCTACTTTCTAGCTGCCTGGTCTCCACCTCCCACGCCCGACTGCAGGACTTCTCCAGGACTTCCCCCATCCTCTGGAACTCTCTACCCCAATCCATCAGACTGTTACCTTCCCTCCTCACCTTTAGGCGCACTCTGAAAACCCATCTCTTCAGGGAAGCCTACCCCACCCTCACCTAACTGCCGATCTCCTCCACTCCTCCTACTACTCCATCCCCACAGCCACTTCCTCCTGTACCACTATCCCCTCCCTCCTAGATTGTAAGCTTGAAAGAGCAGGGCCCTCGAACCCCTCGTGTATTGTTCTGTTACTGTATTGTCTCATCTACTGTCCCCCACTATAATGTACAGCGCTGAGCAAACCTTTTGGCGCTATATAAATAATGTATAATAATAATAAATTCCCAAACGCTAAACGCGTCTAGCACCATTTACACGCATTACACGCCTTTATGTCGTGTTTAGTGTTTTTTGGCCAAAACGTTTCTCTCCTGCGATTACCTTGCATTTAGAAGAGGAACATTTAACGTCCCCTAAACTCTGCAGCTCCTAAACTCTGATAAAAGCTTGTGTGTGCAGAATTAAAAATAGCCCATATTGATTGAGAGACAGGGGTTCCACTTTAAAGATCAATAGATATGTCCATGAATATGTTTCTTCCTCCTGGTTCTGAGTATGAGCCAATCAATCAATCCATCAATCAATCATTAATTAAAAAAACCTATAAAGCATGTGTTAATTGTCAAAACAATTGCTGTTTTCATCTATGCAACTTTTACTTTTAGTTGGTGTTGGTTGGCATTGCTGATCACAAATAACGATTGGTATAGTTTAGTGAATTGGGCCTACCCACATGGAAGAAAAATATATTTG